ATTATTAATTTAAATCTTGGTTAGAACGGATTAATCAAAAATATTAATTAATTTTATTTGATTAAATTAGAATAAAATCAGAGTATTAAAAGCATGTTTTACAATTATTTTGTTTTTGGAATTGTTGAATTTTAATTATATATATATGTTGTGTATATTTAAAATCATTATTATCCTTGATCTGTGACCTAAGAGAGTTAATTAGGATTTATAGAAGTTTTGGGAATTTTCTAGGATTTCTCTAGAATTTTTCTAAATTTTCTGAATTTATTTTATATTTTTTGGAATTATTTTAGAATTGATTTCTATATTATTTTGGTAAATTATATAAATATTGTTTATAAATATACACACTGGAGGCGCAATAGTAGGGTTGTAATCCAGTGTTTGCATGTGCATAGGAATAGGGTACATACGCTGATCTGGCCCTTGGTTTATTTTAGTATAAGTGAGTTGATCTAGTGTAGTGTAGATGCGTGGAAATTAGGTGTGCACTAAATCTGGACCATGTAGTAGGTCTGGTCAACAAAAGAATAATCTGGTGTGGCGCAGCACATGAAAAACATTGTGTGCACTCAAATCATGGCTGTTGGATTAAATGATGAGGGGCGGATGATCCAGCGCATCGCGGTGCATAAAGAATTGGTGCGCGCATGCACCTGGACCGTTGACTTCTTCTGGTCAACATAGAAATAATTTGGTGTGGTCGCGCTCACAGTAACTATTGAGCTCAACCTATTATTATTCCTGTTTTGTTACTCAAAATTTAAACAGTCATAACTTAATCATTTAAAATCGAAATTGGGTCATTCTTGAGCTCAAATTCAAGAATTTTTCGTCCTCTTTCCAATGGTACCAATTTCATTATCAGATTCCTATCATACTAAGAGATATTTACATTTTAGTGAAATGATGTTGGAAAATTTTTTACACTGATATGGAGTATTTATGGAAAACAATTTGTGACGATATTTAGTGACATTTAATTTGCATAAATGTCGTTAATTAATAGTTTGGTGATGGAAGGAGTTATATATATGCTTGATTATATATGTGTGTATATGATTTAATTAATTATTGTGTATGATAGAAGGAACTATATGTATACATATATTCATTAATGTATATGTATATATGATTTTAAATAATCAATGATTATTATAGGTATATGTATATATCATTTAAGATAATTAAATTATTATTCTTATTTGATATATTATATTAGGCTGGTTATTAAATTAATCTTATGCATATAATATGCATGAAAAGGTTATGTGTAAATTAATTTATTTTTTAAGTTTAAATTGGATACATGATTGAATTGTAGGCATGGGTAAGTTGCCATAGGCGTAAATATATTGCTTAAGTATTGGTATGAATAAAAAACATATATATAAAGTATGGATTATTTGTTAGTTTAAAAATATAAATATATATATCTTTGTGGAGGCATGGTTGAATTGTCAATGCATAAATATGCATACGTGGAAGCATGGTTGAATTGCCAATATATAAATAAATATACTTGTTAGGGGGCATGGTTGAATTGTCAATATATAAAATAAATATATTTATAATGGTATGGTTGATTTGCCAAAGCAAAAGTTAATGGCTATGCGTTTTAAATGTTTAAATTGCATCTATGGTTATTGTATGCATGGGTTGAATTAAGATTAGATGTTCCTAAATTAGAATAATCTAATACTTACAAGTTAGTGTATTGTTTTATATATATTAATAAAATAATACTGGTGGAGACCTGGATGATTTGTCAAAATTTGGATTATGTGATTTAAATATTTACAGTTATTATTAAATGTACTATTCCATAAATTATATTTTATTATTTAAATGGTTTAATAATCATTTAGGATGGAATTAAGGTTTTAGGGTTTTTTCCTTAAAAGAAATAGTGAATTGGTGTAGGTATGGTTAATATTTAATCATTATTTATGGGTTTTAAAAATTAAGGAACCTAGTATTAGACGTGGTTAGTGTATTATATATAATTATTTATATAACAGTGTGTTATTGTTTATTAAAGTAAAAACTTTATTAGGTTTGGTTTTGATCAGAGATGATCTACTTATTGGTTTTCAGAGGTTTGGTAGAGAGAACTTGCTCGTAGGGTTTAACCCACGATTTATTTTTCAGGTTATTAGAAGTTCAAGTCTCAAGGTTGAGGATCCGCAGCTGGAGGACTTATCTATTCTTTCTATTTTTTTTTCAAAATATGATATTATTACTTCCGTAAGTATTAATGGATTATTAGATAGTGGATTTTGGTTAAGGGGTCTTTGAGTTACAGGGTTCCCGAGTTGTAAATTTTGAAAAAATTTTAATGAAACTTTTATTTAATAGATTCCCTTCAGCGAGTTATTTATTCTTTTTATTTCTTTTTTTACTCTGTGCTTGTTTAAATACTTTAATTGTTTTGATATCCCCTAATTTTATGCGCGAACTTGATCAACCTGTGTTCCGAGAACTTGATCAACCTGTATTCCGAAACAATGAGATATCACAATTTCTATACTTAAATTCTCTTTTATTTTCACTCTTTTTTGTTGGGTTTTAGGGAGATATTATAGATCTTTAGAAGAGATCTTTAGAGGCTCTTTTTGGCCTTATGTATTTCTCTTGGAATTCATTCCCCTTTTGAGTGCTTTTTATACAATTTTACTTATCAAAAAAAAAAAATTACAGTGCCCATCTAGGCCAAGCAAAGAAAACACCCGGGGTCAGCAATTCCTATACTGCAAAGGAGAGGAGATAACCCCAGATAAGCTATGAAGAGTTATCACCATCCATTTGACAGTGTATCATCAGCACATAAATAGTTTCAATTTGCACAAGACTTGAAAAAACTTGATTTTAGAGATTTGTTTTTTCATTAGATTTGTTGAAGTGAAAAGAAAATGGAAAATATGTCGAAATTTTTGTGGAAAATCAAACAAAAAAGCCACTTTAAGAGACCTAAGTGGAAAATGTAAAATTTGAGCAAAAGATCATCAACCCTGTTATTGGATGTAATTGCAATATTAATTTTATAAATGAAAAACATTTTCCTACATAAATAATAACCTTCTCATGCATAATTTGTCATGTTGTTACCCTAATAAGTCATTTACTTTCTCTATCCTGTTTTAACCTTAGCTTGTATGGGGCAATCCATCGCATGCATTTAAAATCACTCAATGCAAGTTCTACATCTACTTAGCAGTTCAAAAATTACCCAACTAGCAATAATCTATAAGCAGATTGCATTTGGATAATACAAAAAGAATAATCCAAATATCAGTTCTGTGAATAAGTAAACAGCTAAAAAAAATGCGGAGGTCATATGCATTACTGTAAAATCAATTCAGATAGTCAATTTTTACAAAATTGGAAAAGTGTCACTTTGTAATCAAATCCAATACTAACCTCATAAAATGGTGATGAAGCAATATATATATATATATTGATTTGCTAAATCTAAAGATGATCCAAGAAGACCTCAAAGCTGACATCATCAATCAACCTTAAATAGTATAACCCAGCCCTGAACAAGAGCAACAGAATTGAATGTCAGAAGGGATTTCAAATTTTCCTAACAAAAATTGAGCGTGCAGAAATTCACATTATTAGCACAACTACCACTATTTTAATTATTAAAAACCAAATGAGATTTCTAATTTTTGGAAGCACGCAATTGGCGCCTTGGAAAAGAGAGTTTATTTTGAAATTTCCTCCAATTCCATGCTCCCAAGTCCCAAACACATTGCTATTGCATTTGTAACCCTAGAATGGAGAACTTAGTATCATTATTCAACAGGTCACATCTCTCTCTCTCTATATGTGTGTGTGTAAGCATATACATATACCTTCACAATTCACGATTTAGGGCCTATGGCGTGAAAGAATGACTACAGTTCAAGAATACCTCAGAAATCAAGAAATGACTTATGATTTCCAATCCGAATAATCACAAATGAAGCACATTTGTTGTCATACCAAACAGGCCTTGACGAGGATTCTTTTTAGGCGCAGTTTTTGTAGACCCTGTACTGGACCCATTCGACCAAGGGCCTTCCTGTTTATATCCGGATAGGGGCCTAATCGACCCAAAAGAGTTTGAAAAAATATCACCAAGTCCTACTTTTTTAAAAATAAAATAAAATAAAATAAAAAACGGTAAATTATAACCTCTTTTTTTTTTTTTTTTTTTTTTTTTTTTTTTTTTGAGATTTTAATAAATTATACACGATAGATAGTTGAAAATTTGAAGCGTATTTTCTGTTATATGAAGATATTGCCTTCTTGTATGAAAATGAGGACATTATTGTCTTTTCACATTCAAAGTCACCTTCCCCATGAAGGATGGAAAAGTCAAAATAATAAATAGTCTATCAATGAATAATTTATTCAAACCTCAAGAAAAATCAGTCTAATTTAATTAAAAAGAAATTTATTTAAATCCAAAATTTAATCAAAGTAAAGATTTGTGAAATTATAAATTAAAAAATTGATATATAATAATTATATGTATATATATATATATATATAAATTTTAGTTGATTAATGAATATTGCGCTATGTAACTTTACTTCTTGAATGTAGTTTGTCAATTCATTCCTAAATAAGACCAAAAGAATTATTTACCGTAATAAAAGACAAGATTTGATTTTATCATAGTAAGATTTGATTTTATCATAATAATTTACTTTTCTATCCTTCATTTGTTCTTTTTATAGTTGCAGTTGCATTAGCCTTCATCATATATATATAAAAAAAAAAGGTTCAACTTTTTCATAATGAGTGAGACATAAGATTTCTAAAGCTATATAAAAATAATTTAATAATTTACCAACTTAATCCACACCCATTCTCCAAAAGTACTATAAATCAAATAAAATAAATTTACTATAAATCAAATAAAATAAATTTTTGTGCGTGCCAATCTTATTTATTTCAAGTAATATATAAGACTTTTGTTTAATCAAATTTGGACCAACCCAATCTTTTGAACTCCAAGTTCATATATATAAATTAATCCCAAAGCTATTTTATTGACCACACAAAACAGTGTTTGCTAACTCTCAATGTACTGCAGATACACCCACACACATTTACATAAACAATAAAAAATTGATAAACTTATTGCAAACCAATGCCAAAACAATCGTATATCCATAAATATATGTATTTATCAGTCATCATCTTGGCTTTCATAGTTCTTCATCTCTGAAACACGAGTACTTCTTCGCTTTGAATGGTTCCGGCGCCCCCTTCCATGGAGTTTCAGCGGCCTCCCGGTGTTTTTGAACCGTTGCCTCACCACTGGATTAATCACACACTCTGGTGGTGTGACAGGGTACCTTAGAGTGTCATAACAGTACGAGTAATACATGTATCCTTCTCGAAACTTCTTCATCGCCATTCGCTGTCTTGGAGTGACATTGGAGTAATAGTCCATCAATTGATCATCTTCTTGAGAGCAGCTAGCGGCGAGTACATCTTGTACAGGATCAGCAGCACATCCATGGAGGACGAGGTCGGTGAATTCGGCCACAAATGGAGCATACTTGTAGTTCACTTTGTATTTGCCGCCAGAAGTGGCCCATGTTGAAGCATCCCATATGGTGGCATACAGTGACATGGGCTTTGATGGGTAGTCTCCCGCCATGGCTTCGCTACGTACTATCTCCCGGATTGGAATTTCATCTATGTAGAAACTGCATAGGTAGGAACATAAAAACATTACTACTCAAATTTATATATGAAAAATGCTAAACACTACATTTTTGAATCAAATGTTCATTAATGACTAAATTCGAATATCATTTATATATATATATATATACCACCTAACCACCTGCTCTAGAGAAATTTCTCTAGATTCTAGAATTGTTTTCTAGTTCAATGAAAATAGTCAAAATTCAAATTAAATTAGCAAATATTGACTTTTTTTTTTTTTTTTTTTCTAATTTTCAAGAAGCAGGTGGGAATATAATTAATTTAGAACTCACATAATGTTGTTGGCGGTCCATAGGATGCTATATCGATGAAACTCTCTGGAAGGGTCAAACCAGAGGCGGTATCTCTCCTCTCTTCCTCTGTTGGTGCTTCCATTTCCATAAATATTCGTCTGAAACCGCCATTCTTGGCCTCGAATATTTCCCAAAAACTCAAAGTCTAATTCATCATGAGTCTTCTCAAATATATCTCCATTTGTAGTCTGTCAATTAATAATAAATAAATAAAATGTAACGGAAGTTATTAATTTGATTATTATTAATTTTGACCATATGATAAAAACCACCCTAATGATTATATGTGTTTGTGCATGGACTGAGCCAGATTTCAAGAATTTTAAGAACTAGAAGTAGAAAAAGAAAAAGGAAAGAAAAATGAGAGAACTCCAAAAAGAAAAAGTTCAATTGAGGAAAGAAATTGAAGAGTAAAAAGAAAAAATAAAGAGATATTGGCTCTGTCCCTGTGTTGTTGTGTGTACATAATTATATATGGACTATAGCATAATATATGGACTATAGAATAAAGAGAAATTAAGAAGTAAGTTAGATTATGTACTCACATAAAATGCGACAACGACGCCGGCAGTATATTCCGATGGCAACTTTATTTTAGCACTGAAGAAGCCACGGTTGTAGAGGTCAGAGGACTTAAAACCAGAACCTGTAGAAGAAATTAAGTGTGAACCAACTTTGAAGAAGAAAAAAAAGTGTATGTATGTATATATGTACGTGTCTTTGTGTGTATCTATCAAAACACATGGTCACATATACAGATATGCGTGTGTACTGTACATATATATGAATATCTGCATAAGGGTGACCCTCAGTTTATGTGTGAATGAAGTTTGAAAAATAAAAATAATGGCATTTATATTATTAAATCACACACATATATATAGACATGTATAAAAGATGATTCTGAATAAACTGCATGCCTATATAATAAAAGGGTGATCATCAAACTAGCTCTAATATATATATAAACTACATGCCTATATATATGTATGTATGTACAAGAGGAGATGAGGTGAATAGGAATAGTGCATACCTGTGTATTGATTGAGGAGAAGATTGACGCTTTTGTCATCTGATGAACGGATGATGTTACTCTCGCCGAAGAGAGGACTAAAGCCTTCATTGAATGGAATTGTGGTCACGTTCAAGGCATAGCAAAGATGGAGAAGGAGAGAGAGGCATATTAGCCTTCTGAAGATTGGAGAGAGAAAACTCTTCATCTTTGGTATGCTTGTGAGCCTAGCTTCTTTGAAATCACTGTTTATGTGCTTGTGTGTGTGCGCGTATATATATGTGCAGAGAAAGAGAGATGAAGTGGGCTTGAATAGGTCGGTCAATTGGTGCAATTTTGAATAAGCGTGGTGGCTCTACTCGGTTTTGGTTAGGGGTATTTGTGTAAATTGAAGGATGAGAATCATGAGACACAAGATATATTTACAATTCATATTTGGATAACATGTTAACTTTTCTTTTCTTTTTCTTTTTTTATTAAAATGGTGCTCTATCTCATCCATAGTTTGTTTTTGTTTATAATAGATCCTTTTTTTTTTTTTTTTTTGTTGGAAGGTAAAGTTTATAATAGATCTTGAGACATATTAATCATGACCATCTTAAATTAATATGGAATGTCTTGATCATTGAGCAAGTACAAGGAGAATGGAAAGCTAGAAAGGTTAAAACCGTCTTGGGACCATTTTCTAATTGGTAATATTATGACATTTTTTGTAAATATAGAAACGAAATAAAAATAAAATAAAAAAACAATATATGTTTATTATGGTATAACAGATCATTGGTTTTGATATTTATTTTACCTTCTAATTATATTGTAAATTACGGACTCAATGGAATACATTATATGATGAAAACGTGTATGAGTTATTGCAATTGTCTTTCCTTTTTAATATAAGCTTAAATTGTGCAAGTGCATCTATGAAAAAGTATTAAATATATAAAAGAGTATGGTATTCCGAAATATTAATGATTAAATCATGAATAAAGTAATGGTCCCACTATATACACAATTTTTTTATATATATACTTACCAGAAAGAACACATAGCATTAGTTGATTTGTCAGGTTTCTAAGTACCAAATTGGTTTTTGGAAATGAAAGTGGTGGACATGCATATCCAAATTGTCCACATTTTTCAGTATTACATACATCAACATGAAGATGACCCAATTAAATGGACAAAACGCCCTTAATGACCTGTCCCTATTTTTTCTCTTTAATATTTGTGAATGGACATGCATAATATTTCTTTATAAAAAATTAAATGAAGAAAGCTGACTTTACAACAAAGTTGCATTATTCATGAGAATGACAACAATCTTTCCACGTGTCCAGACAATCTCTTCACGCAACTTGCCCTTTGATTTTTCATACGATTAAATCAAAATTCTTAATTAGGATTGATCATTACCTTTCCTAGCTACTGGCATGCTGTTGACAGATATTACATTGGTTTACGTTACTTTCTAATTAACTACAAATAGCTTTGTTAAGGGACAGCTGTCATGCCCCCAAAAAGAAAATTTTAATTTTATATTCTAATAATTAATAAAATATATTGAGTCGTGATAATTAAACAGAAAACTTAGACCTATTTGTTAAGAATCTAAGTGGTTCAAAAAGACAAATAATATTTAGTAGTGGGTCATGTTGACTCACTACAAAACATTGAATTTTTAATTTTTTTTCCGATCTTCGTCTTCTATTAGAAATTTAATTTATCTTATTTCTCTTTTAATTATCTCCATTTTCTTTCCTATTAAGAATTTAGTTCCTTCTCAAATTTTTTCCTCCATAAATATCGCTAATCTCTATTTTGTACCAAAAAAAAAAAAAAAACAAAACAAAAAAACAAAAATTTATGAGTTTGATAAGAATAATTGATAGTAAAATAAGAGACGAAACCCAAAAGTAAAGGTAATACAATTATATGGAGAGTCAAAAATCACTTTAAACTCTATTAATTTTGAACTCTTTTAACATTCAGTATTTTTTAATTAATATAAAAAAATATTTATTAATTAATATAAAAAGAATTAAAATAAAAGTTTCTGTAAAATTATTAGAACAGCTAAAACAAGTTAAAATTAAAATAAAATTGGATAATAAATAAATTACCAGTTAAAATTAAATAGGTGATTGTTTAAATAAAACTTAATTAACATGTTCATTTATAAATAAATAATAAAATAATTTACCAAATAATAAAATAAGTTACCAATTAAAATAAATCATATTATATTCGGAATTCTTCAAGGTTAAAACAACTTTAATTTTTCTATTTTACTATCTTTCTAATGAATTTCTAAATATAAATTTACTTTTCTTCTAATTCTATTTTCTTTCTAAATCTTTCCATTATAATAATATAATTTTATCATAAAATTATTCTTATGTTTCATGTGCATTACTAATAAATCTTTTATTGTTTAAGTTTCTTAAAATAGAAATTTTCAAAAGAGTTTCTATAAAACTTTTAAAACAACTAAAATAAGTTTATAATAAAATTATTCTTATGTTTTATCTATTAATAAATTTTTTATTATTTATTTTTTTAAAATGCGAATTTTCAAAGAGTTTCTATAAAATTATTAAAACAACTAAAATAAATTATGAATTAAAATAAAATAGGTAATTATTTAATAAAATAATTTACCAAATAATAATCAAATAATTTACTTCTAATTCTATTCTCTTTCTAACTCTTTCCATTATAATAGTATAATTTTATAATAAAATTATTTTTATGTTTCATGTGCATCTACTAATAAATCTTTTATTTTTATTTTTATTTTTCTTAAAATTGGAATTTTCAAAAGAGTTTCTATAAAACTATTAAAACAACTAAAATAAGTTTATAATAAAATTATTCTATAAAACTATTGAAAGAACTAAAATAAGTTACGAATTAAAATAAAATAGTTTATTATTTAAAAAAATAATTTACCAAATAAAAATAAAATAATTTTCTTCTAATTCTATTCTCTTTCTAACTCTTTCCATTATAATTTTATAATAAAATTATTCTTATGTTTCATGAGCATCTACTAATAAATCTTTTATTGTTTATTTTTCTTAAAATAGGAATTTTCTAAAAAGTTTCTATAAAACTATTAAAACAACTAAAATAAATTTATAATAAAATTATTCTTATGTTTCATGTCCATCTACTAATAAATCTTTTATTGTTTATTTTTCTTAAAATAGGAATTTTCAAAAGAATTTCTATAAAACTATTAAAATAACTAAAATAAGTTTTTTCGAAGGTATAACTAAAATAAGTTACGAATTAAAATAAAATAAGTAATTATTTAATAAAATAATTTTCAAAATTATAATAAATTAAGTTACCAATTAAAATAAATTATATTTTGGTCGGGATTCTTCAAGATTAAAACAATTGTACTTTTTTCTATTTTATTCTCTTTCTGACTTTTTCCTAAATATAAATTTACTTTTCTTCGAATTATATTCTCTTTCTAACTCTTTCCTTTTTAATATTATAATTTTATAATAAAATTATTCTTATGTTTCATGTGCATCTACTAATAAATATTTTATTTTTTATTTTTTAAAGAATAATAATTTTCAAAAGAGTTTGTATAAAACTATTAAATAATAAAATAAGTTACTAATTAGAATTAAATAAGTAATTATTTAATTAAAGTTTAATCAAGATATTTCAAATCATTTATATATAAAATAATAAGATAATTTGTCAAATAATAAAATAAGTTATCAATTAAAATAAATCATATTATGCTCGGAATTTTTCAACTTTCCTAGATATAGATATAGATCTATTACGCACTGATGGTTCAAAATTTTTTGTTTTATTACAGGGTTTTTTTTTTTTTTTTTTGAGTTTGTTTAATTATGTCATGTCACTTTTTATTTTTTAAAAAATATCTTAATTTATTTTGATTGATCGATCTGTTTCTCAGTTTGGTCCAAAATTCTTTGTTTTTTTATAGGTAGATTATGTTTTCTTTCAACTTTGATAGTAATTTATTTGAATTGTATAGATTTTTTTTTTTTTGCATGACTACATTTACTTTTGAAAAAATATCTTAATTCATTTTGATTAATCTGTTTCGCAACATGATTCAAAATTCTTTATTTTATTACAGTAGCATTATTCTTTGAATTGCATTAAACATTAATCATGTTGATTTTTTTTTTTAATTATGTTTTATTCTTTGAATTGCATTAATCTTGTTGATTTTTTTTTTTATTTTTAATTTTTTTGTTTTTGTTTAATTATGTCATTTCACCATTTATTAACTAAACAAATAAGTTTCGTAATATTATATATTTCATTCTTTATAAGTTTTTTAATAAATTAAATTTTTTTTTTTTGAAAGTTTTAAATAATTTTAGCATTATATGGAATAATATTTATAATATTTTAATTTATAAAAAATAATAGTGTAATTTAAAACTTGTATAATTTAGGATAGTTTTTAATTTAAAATTTTTATAATAATTCACTTGTCTTCTTTGCTTTCTTCTGTTCATTATTTGGCGGATGAAAATTTGTACATATTCTCTTTTCTTTCTTTGTATAATTTCTACCAGAAAATTTGTTTTTCTTTCTATTTTTTCTCTACCTCTTTTCTTTCCTACCAAATAGAAAATAAAACTTTGAATTTGTCAAAAAAAAAAAAAAAAAAAAAAAAAAAAAAAACAACTTATAACTTGCCGAGAGTTCGTCGACTTGGAGAAGTGGGCGCGAGTTGGTGCAGTGGGCCCACACCCAAACCTCTGAGCAGACTATCAAATCTCAACAAATTGTAGCACGGTTCAAAACGAAAAAAACAACGTTAGGTAGGTGGAGACAAAACTAAACATTTCGTATATCAGGTTATCAAGAGTCTTGTAATTCAATAGTATCTCTCAACTTTCTAAAATAAACAGTGACAACCATTGGGGCAATATGCAAAGAGTGGTAAACCAATAATAATAAGTGAGCTTAATTATAATTTTTTAGATCATATTTCTGCCATACAAGTTTTGAACAGTTGGAGAAGAGACAAGTCTACGAAAACACTGTACTCTTATCTACCTTCAATTTTTTATAATAAATATAAAGGTTATTGTTTAATGCACTTAAATAATTTTCTAAGTAAGACAAAAAGTCATTACAACATGAGTTTGACACCGCAACTACAAAAATTAAGCATGAATATGAATTTTTGTCGTAAACATCCTTAACTTATGGACAAAGATTAAATATAAGTAAATATTATATGTCGATAAATGATATTAATTGGAAATATGTGTGTGGAGTTCAATTGTTCATGTACCTTTCATGTTATTACTGG